GGACCGATTTGACTTTTCAACATGACAAGTAAACCAGTTCTTGTGATTTTGACGTTCTTTTTGGCTTTCACATCTKCACAATCCTTGGAATATCTCAACAACGAAGGTGGAGTCCATTTTGGGAACTTTAGCGAAAGTGCAAGTGGGACAATTTTCTCTAAACCCGGCAGTCTTTTATCTAAACTAACAACCAAGAGCACTAAAGAATGCTGCTTCAAGTGCGTACAAAACAAGGAATGCTTATCGGTGAATACCATTGCTTTGGATCAATCGCGATATCAATGTGAGCTTCTTAACTGGGCAGGGACGGGATTTGAGAGCCAACTTGTACCAAAAGCCAAATCCAAGTTTATGCAGCTGCAGGTTAGTGATAAAGTGTTAAAGTTTTTTTTAAAGTTTTTTTTTCAATCGGATTGATGGCCATATAGTGTATCTGTTCAGAACTCAGCATGAGCAGAAAGCAACTAACATTTCTTCCCACTTTTTTAGTACTTCCAGATGAATATAAATTGAACAAAAACCTTTTTTATCGCCACAGCTTCAAAATGAATCAATAGTCATGAAAGCCTCATTCTTTTGTATTCACTTTTACTTTAAGGTGGCTTCCTATATATTTTTTTTTTTTTTTCAACCATACCTCTCATTTTAAATTCGTTTTTGAAAATCTTGCCATGCACCGATTTATTTGGTGTTTGGAACAGTAATAAAGCATTGATCGAAGTTTTGTTTGGCATAAAAAACCTAGGCAACGGAAATCGCATTTTGTCGAAATTCGTTTTTACGAAATATCTCAAAAAATAAAGATAAGGATTTTTACAGAAAATGTACATTTGTCTGTAAAAGCCCGTTTACACTTGCGGTTTTTGCAGAGCGATTCTCGCGGCGATCTTCGAGTGACAATCGTCTGAGCTTCGAACAAGTCATGCTTAAAAATTTGCTGCAACTTTAAAAGCAATATGTAGGGGGACAAATGGGCTAAGAAGGGGGGACAGGCGGGAATAATCGAAGGACACGAGGGAAGAAAGGGAACAAAGCGGGGACACACGGGACAGGTGGGACAAGAGGGATCTTTCTGAAAACATGTGTTAATTTAATTTAAATGTATAAGCGTGTTCAACACGCGTGGACACGAAATTCCGATATTATAGTTTACGGGAAAACAACGCGCTGAGACACAAAATGCACTACCGGAAAAACAAAATAAATTTGATAACAACTCAACTGAAACACTGAAATAGCTTTATTCAAAATCTTTTCAATTAAAAATTTACATTTCAACATCAACATTGTCGGGTATTTCAATATTTTGAAATAGTTTATTGAGCATATTGCCTCCATTGCCTCTTCCCATTGAAACCCATCCACATCCATTAAATCTTGCTTTGTTTTCATAATTTGGCGAAAAATGTAGTTTTTCCTTAAATCATGTATCCACTTAAGATACTCAAACAGTACTTTACGAAACTCTTTTCTGTATGTTGGGAGTAAATCATTTTCTGCTTTAGCTTCAGCAACCTCGTGACTCTCCCCTTCTTGCTCATAATGACGAACTAGTGTTTCAAATTTGTTTTTGTGACGCTCTCTTACTTCATCTTGAATTCGTTCCCAATTGCCGCTGTCATCGTCATCGTCTTCGTCACTGCTCACTTGCGAGGAGTCAGATTCATCTGATCCTTGAGAATCAGACATGCTGTCACTTTCATCATCGGTCGAAGATTGATTTGTGACGTGACTGGCTTCTGAATTCAATTGTTCATCACCAGAATAAGACATGATGTATTCCCGTACAATAGAAGTTTAGTTGTTCTTTCACCTTTAGCAGTCTTGCTTAAAATGTGTGTGAGATTAGCAATTGTCCCCCTTTTATAGCATTATAATAGCAGGCTTGGTTAAATTTTATGAATATTTTCCGTAAAAGGTATCCAACGTTTACGTAATGGTTTTACGGTACCGTGACATGATATGTTATGTTTCTGACTGCAAAGGAGAAAATTATTTAGAAAAGTGATAGTAGAGTAAACACGAGGTTTCTGTAATCTATCGGATTACGTCCCTGGACAACAAGTTGAAACTTGCCCTCATTCCTATAATCGGATTGCCGGTCCAAGAATGTGGACCGTACCACCCCTCCCCCACAAATCGCGCTATATAGGCTTAGTCTGATGTGACTACCCCCTCTACTACTGTTTTAGAGGGGGTAGTCAAGTGTCTGAAGAATGTCTGGAATTCTTCCTCGCATACCAATATTTGACCACCCCTCCCCCTAATAGGGGTGGGGGAGGCGCCATATGGGGGGTTATAACTACTTATACTTGACTTAGTCATTACTAGGGCTCAAGACAATGTTATTTCCAACATTACTGTTTCTGATCCATTAATTTCTGATCACTGTGCTGTTTCTGCAGATCAACGGATTAACAAGCCGCCTTTTCCTAAGATTGTTTCTAGACGTAATCTTAAAGCTATTGCTAAAGATAAATTTATACATGACATCTGTAATTCCTCACTTGTGCTTTCTACTGCAAATGATCTTGTATCTTTGATAAACCAGTATGAGTCGGATTTTTCTGCTATCCTTGATATCCATGCTCCGCGTAAGGATCGTATTATCACTTTACGTCCAATTGCTCCTTGGTACTCATCAGAGATTAAAGCACAACAAGCTAAACGTCGAAATCTTGAGAAAAAATGGCGAAAATCTCGTCTGACAATTGATAAACAGTTATATCATGAACAATGCAATGTGGTTAAAAATTTCATCAAGTCATCTCAAAATGAATATTACTCTAACATAATAAATGAGCACAAGGGAGACCAAAAAGTGCTGTTTTCTACTTTTGAAAAGATGACTCACAAAAATGGTAATAAAGAGTTTCCATCAGCTTCTTCCGACAAGCATCTTGCTAATTCGTTTGCTGACTTTTTTGTTGAAAAAATCAAATCAATTCAAAGTAATTTTGTCAATGTCACTAATTATCTGAATGATCAGCCTGCTTTGTTAAACAACTATCTTACATCTTTTTCTGAGGTTTCCACTGAGTATATATCTGAAATTATTTCTCCGTTAGTATTAAAGTCATGCGATCTTGATCCTCTTCCTGGCAAAGCTTTAAAACTTTGCATAGATCAATTAATCCCGATTATTACTAAAATAATCAATCTTTCTTGAATGCATTAATGGCTTTACCACTTAAGCTTTCTGTTATTAAACCACTTCTCAAAAAACAAACCATGCCATCAGAGGAATTTTCGAGTTTAAGACCGATTTCAAATTTAAAGTTTTTATCGAAAGCCATTGAAAAAGTAGTGGCCTCACAGCTGGTTGATCACCTCGAACAGAATAACCTTCAGTTGCCACTCCAATCGGCATATAAGAAACATCATAGTGTCGAAACAGCCAGTTCACATGTCTTGTGATTCCACAGCTATCCCTGATCGCGTGCACAGAGGATTTACTTTGCCGGATCATTTCTATTATTAAATCTTAACACACAATTAAAAACTTCATCCGTAAAGTGAATCCAAGGACATAAAGCGAATCGAACGATCTGTATTTGAGTTGTTTTTTTTTTTTTTTTGTACAAATGTTATTATGATGGTGTATATAATATTTAGGCATGCGTGATGCAAATTTTAATGCATTGGTGTGTCTTAAGTTTTTCTTGATTTAGTAAAAGCACAACGCATTTATTTTTATACTCATAGCCCAGAGAACCAATCTTAATTTAACGTGATGTGATGTCTTCGATACTTTCCCGACCCGGTTCTTGCCATCTTACCGCTTATAGTGCGCGTGGGACGGGAAATCGATTTGATTTTAGTTCATCGGGATAACTTGTCGGAATGCATCTTATATTTTTAGCTTAAAAGGCGCAAAACATGAAATACAATTGTATTATTGTACTTCCTTGCATTTTTTTTAATTAATAACAAATACAAATAATCATACAAATACAAATAAGGAATATAAAAGACATAATACAATTGATAATACCTACTATACAAATTAATTCTACTCTGTCTACTTGAAGGTCGCTTATTTATAATTTTATTATTATACATTACTATAAATTTTATAAGTACTACAAAAATATTAGATTTTTTTTTGTTAGGCCAATCTCCACCGCTTTTAGCATACAAATTGAATTGGTAAGAAAATAGAAAACGACTTTTGGTATTTCGTTATGAAAATCTGAAAATCCACTTCCTTGCAGTTATATTTGGATTTTATTTTTTGCACATCTGCCTGTATCTCCAAGATATAACGGAAATCAAGGTCGTACTTTGCTGACTCAAATTGTTCAGTTATTTATATAACTGGATACTTTTAGATTTTAATTAATTAACCGCGCTCTATCAAAAACATTATCAGTTTTAATTCCTGGGTGATTGTAGCGAATTTAATGGACTTGGAGAATCACATAATCTATTTTGACGGCGCCCACGCGCACGTAACATTGCCATCGCGGTGTGGCTAATCTTCGGAAGCGTATATTTAGAACTTTCTAACGTAAGGTAATTTCCTTTTCGGTCTTAAATTAGCTCTAAAATGTTCTATATTTGTTTCTGAAACTCATTTGAACTATATTTTACTCACGCCGGATATTAAAAAATAAACAAAAATATAAAAAAAAAAAAAACGGAAAGGAAACAAACAAAATGAAAATAAAATGACATTGTCCTTGGAATATATTTAGATGTTGGATTTCCTTGTTATTCAAATGAGATAGATTCTGGATATCTATTCCAAAGATATCTTGTATATTTTCTAGGATAATCATCGGAAACTGAATCCCAGACACGCCACCAGAGGCCTAGTTTGACAAACCGAACCCAATTAAGAATTTGACATGGCCGGAAAATTTGAAACTGAGCCTCAAGCTTGCCACATAAAATACGTGACAACTAGAATCTTAGAAGCTAAAAAAGAAAGCTGTAAAGACGCTTTCATGATTTGTGCAAACCAAAAAAACTTATCCAAGACAAACATTTTTCAAAGCATATTCGGCAACTCTTGTTCTTCTAAAATGTTTTTTTTTTAGATAAAGATCCCTGAAAAACGAATATACATCCGTTTATATTTGATACAATCATGTTGGAGTGATCCAGCGTGGCTCTTATCAGATGAAAAATCTCTTTTGTGTATTCTGAATCTGTATCGATGTCTACCATAACGAACGAGGGAAGCGAATGTCGTATATATTCCACTCCGCACACTAACAACCCTTGTAATTGGGTTTCCTCAATAGTTCATATTTCTGATATCTCAAAGGACCTTAAGTGAGGGGTCTATAATCTAGTGAAAAACGGATTGAGATAATTGTTGGACAGAACAAATTTATCTGATAAAGTGATGCATAAAG